AACATTATAACGCCCCCACGGCTGAAAGGGCGAGCATGTTTGGTGGGACGGGGATTCGAACCCGCGACCCGCAGATTGCGAGTCGAGTGCCCTAACCACCTGGCCATGCCGGGCCACGGTAAACAGACACTTCGGTAATGTTAGGGTTATTACAGAAATGAGACAAGTTAATCTAACCCTTCTGTTCCTCACGTTCCATAGAAAAGATGTTACGAAACTTTTTTTTTTCCTCGTTAAGAAGGAATATTTTGAGGGTCATCATCAGGGCCGTTCAGAAGGGGGGGGGGAAACAGAAAAAAAAACGCGAAAGCTAGAACTAGAAACTGACCAATAATTAATTTTACGTTACAATATCACAGGGGGGTGGAACTAATTTTTTTTGGGGGGTCACCGATGATTGAGGGCTCCTTATTTGTTTGACCATTGAACTCAAAGTTGAAACCGCCAAGCTCTATTCCCCGTTCAAAGGGTCATTTCGCTACCGGGTCAAATGTTGGGGGTACGTTCCCCCAATGTTTTCCCCCGGTTTTGCCGCCTATGCACAACACCAGCATTCTCTGATTGTATTACACTTACCCAATCTCTGTAAATTATTGAGGGTGTGTGCCCTCAACTTGTATATCTATCACGGATGGAACATTTTTGGTCATTATCTGTATTGAAAATAGATCTGGAACTTCAAAGTAATGGATATCCGAACGTGAAATATCAGGACGAGACAACTCGATACACGCAGACTAAGCATTTATATTTAATACTTTATATGTATCATTCTCAAGTCAAACTTGTATTCAAGTGTTGTTGTTTTTTTCACTGAAGACTAAACTTAAACGAAACTCGTATGTACAAGGTGACTTTTACAGTGCAGTTTCTGGTTGTCCCGATTTATTACTAGGGGGCGTTGTACAACAACGTTTTCTGTTTCTATGATCTTTCAAACCCTTTTAATTTCATCATTTAAAGTGGTTTTTTTTTGTATTATCCTATTTCGGTGTTAAAATAATAACGCGTCGCCCGGCATGGCCAGGTGGTTAGGGCACTCAACTCGCAATCTGCGGGTCGCGAGTTCGAATCCCCCCAAACATGCTCGCCCTTTCAGCCGTGGAGGCGTTATAATGTTACGGTCAATCCCACTATTCGTTGGTAAACGAGTAGCTCAAGAGTTGGCGGTGGTGACTACCTGTCTTACACTGCTAAATTAGGGACGGTTCGCGCAGATAGCCTTCGTGTAGCTTTGCGCGAAATCCATAACATAACTTACATAATAATAATAACGCCACCTGGTGTAAATACTTGTTTTGCACGCCAGACACCTTTTACTTACCACAAATGCAATAAAATGATTTTGTAAATGTTACGCATAAGTTTATCATTGAAAAAAAAATCACTTTAACTACAATAAAACAACAACAATAATAATTATAAACAGAATGGGTCTTCCAATAAAACAACAACAATAATAATTATAAACAGAATGAGTCTTCTGGTAATTCAGAGATGGGCAGAATGTGTGTCTTTGGCCCGGGTGTGGCCCACTGGTTTTGATATCAGAGGGTCCAAAATTCGAGACGCAATACCGCTGAACACGCTCCGCACTTTCGGCTTTGAACGTGTTATAAAATTGATAGTTAATTTCGTTATTCAGTTCAAATTGCAAAGTCATCGTGGCAGCGGGTGCTTCTGGCTGATCGTTGTCATTCTGGTCAGAAATTCAGAATTAGAGACGTTGTATAAGAACCCTATGCGTATTTGACCTAGCCGCTCGGCATTTAAGGATGAAAAATTTAAATTATGTCTTGATCTTTTATGCTGCAACACGTAAACGTGTTCACGTAACTGAAAAAAAAAACTACGACAATATTTTGTCATTTCCACGTAACTGAAAAAAACTAACGACAATATTTTGTCATTTCCACGTAACTGAAAAAAACTAACGACAATATTTTGTCATTTCCACGTAACTGAAAAAAAAAACTAACGACAATATTTTGTCATTTCCACGTAATCTAAAAAACTACGACAATATTTTGTCATTTCCACGTAACTGAAAAAAACTACAATATTTTGTCATTTCCACGTAATCTAAAAAACTAACGACAATATTTTTGTCATTTCCACGTAACTGAAAAACTAAAGACAATATTTTGTCATTTCCACGTAACTGAAAAACT